GTCCCTGTTGGCCATGCCATTCCTTCTCCAGGTTTTCTGCCCTGAGCTCAGATGTGGCTGGGCAGCCTCTTGCTATTGGGACACAACCCCCCAAAATTCCACCAAGTGTCTCAGTTAGACCTATGCCTTCCTGAAATGAAGGTGCTCCGGGGCTTGTGTCAGGCCTCTGCTGAGCAGGGAGGTACCTGGTCAAATCTGCTCTGACCTTCTGATCTCCCCTTTCTTTCCAGGCTGCTGCTCCTGCTGCCCTGTGGGCTGTGCCAAGTGTTCCCAGGGCTGTGTCTGCAAAGGGGCATCGGAGAAGTGCAGTTGCTACGCCTGATGTCAGGAGATCCTTGATCCAGGTGGAGGAGGTGGAGTAACGTGCATAACCTGCATTCTTTTAAATCAACCCTGACCCTTTTGTTACGTTTATTTCCTATAAAATATGTGAGTGACAATAAAAGTTGTTGATTTTCTTCTGACCCTGATTTCCTTTGTGCTTTGTAAAATATGAGAGTTGGGACCCATTAAGGCAGTGGTAGGGATTGAACTTGATGTGAGAGTCCAAGGCTCTGGATGGATTGTGAGCCCCTGACAACCTGAGTGCCCTCAGCCAAGCCAGAGAGCCTCCCTGAGCTTCCTCTGATGTTACACTGGCATCGCATCATGGCACATCATTTGAGAGAAGGGGGAGACACACAGGATGACCGCATTGTCATGTCAGTGGTGGCACGGAAACTTCTTCATTCCTCACATTTATTGTCTGATTCCCTGCACAACCTCAGTTCCTCATAGAATTTTAGACTTCAAAGCAATTATAGTAAGTGGAAGCCCCCTCCTCAGTGGTCTCAATTGTCCACGGGGCTTCTTAAACTTCATGTGAAGGAACGGCTTCTTATTTTTTTATTTGCAGACCTAAACTTTGGTTAATAAAGTATTAATTATGGAGATCATGAAACCAAACTCTAATTACAAAGCCTATTTTTAGATTCAACTGGAAAAAGTTCCTTAAACACATGAAGACATTTTAAGAAAATTAAAGCTTACAAACTCTGCATATCTGCTCATCGATGATGTGCATGGCAGACCTGACAGCAGACCGGACCCAGGCACCTCGAGCAGCTCAGGCCAGGACATTCCCACATGGAGCTATCCGTCAGTCTTGGCCTGCTCAGTGCCACTGACGGGACATTCGCTGACCCCTGAGAGCTCCTGTTCTGCCTTGACTCTGAGTGTATGGAAGTTCCTCCCAAGGTCAGCTAAATGGTTTCTTTTTCAAATTTCGGCCAGTGACTACTTCCAAGCATCAAAGTACTAAGGATTTGAAGGGAATCGCCGGGCATTTTCCTGGCAAGGTGAAGTTCACGTGGTCATGGGTTCCATGTGAAATTCTTCAAGTCTGCCCATGCAGGGGTGATGGCGGCATCTGTGGTTTGGCAGTGCCTTATTAGGAAGGCGTGAAACCGTGGGAGTCTCATTAATGCCAACTGTTAGTCCTGTTGGCTATTTGTTGAGGAAACACTATTTGATGTTTCAAAGAGGAGGATGAGCCCCGTGGCCTAGAAGTCAGAATCATGCCTCCCCACTGCTTCCCTCTGAAGAGGAGACTTAAGAAGGCGGCCTGTCCAGGTAGATGTGCTTTGGGGTTCACAGTCCTTGTCCAGAGTCCACTTCTCCACTTCCTGGCTGTGTGGCCCAGGTAAGGTGCTGAGTTCCCTGGGTCTCCATTTCCTCATTTGTACAAAGAACACTTTATGTCTATGTATGGATTAAATTAGACCATGACCTGTCTCCTGGTTAGGCCTTAATAAACAAACACCATCGTGATCACTCTGCCTATATAAACTTTCTTTCTGTTATTTTATTTTTGTGAGTTAGGGTCTTACTCTGTTTCCCAGAATGGAGTACAATGGCGCAATAATGGATCATCACAGCCTCGATCTCCTGGGCTCAAGCAATTCTCCCTTCTCAGCCTCCCATGTGGCTAGGACTAAAAGTCCAAACCACCACAACCAGTTCATTTTTTAAAGTTATTAGTAGTAAAGATGAGTTCTCGTTATGCTGCCTAGGCTATATTCTTGAAATCCTGGGCTTAAGGAATTCTCACACTTTGGCTTCCAAAAGTGCTGGGTTTATAGGCATGAGCCACCATGCCCAGCTATATGAACTTCTGAGAGAGAGAATCCTGGTAAGTCCCAACTAGTTCCTGGAGAAAGGCTCATAGGTTTGGAAGCATTGCTCTGGACTGGATGCTAGAAATGAGATTGCTGTCAGGTTGGCCCAGTCCCAGGAGGAGTGTGGATGTCTTCCTGTAGAAAGTCCTCTTCAGTGACACACTGCCCAGCATTGGAACTTGGGTGGAAGCCTTTCCCATAATTCATGTCATTTGATCGACACACAGTATCATGAATGACAGCCACATGCCTCATGACTGGGACATCACCTGTGCATGGGCTGAAGTGCCTTGTTGTCTTCCAGAGAGTTAAACAACCTGCCCAATGTCACACAACACAGAAGTAAAGGGATAAATGCACTCATACTGTCTGGCCTGTCATCCTGGCGATAGCTGGGTGATCATTACATCCCTAGATGCTAAACCCTGTTATCTCACTTCAAAGGTACAAAGGCCCTATGATGTGGACCTCCCTCTTGGCTTGAGAGATGGCAACTGACACCCTGAAAGGTCACCTAGCTACATGCAAAGGGGTCTTACTGCCAACTCAGTGCTCTTCCCACTGCTGCCTCCATGCCAGATTTTCTGTGTCCTCACCTTCCATGTGACTTGGGGGCACAGAACAGTGGGTGAGGACATGATGCTGCAGTCAACATGCATGGGTGCAAATCCCACCTCTCTCACTTTTAGCTGGGTGACACAACCTCTTGTGGCTCTGTCTCCTCAACTGTACAAGGAGCATAATAATTGCCACTGGCTTGTGGGATTAAATGACTTAACACATGGAAGAAACTCTGGCAAGGGGAAATAGTCTATGATATAAGCTACAGCTTATTTAAAACATCATTATACAAAGCCTAGGAGATATTTGCTTACACACAGACAGAACAGCCAGGCCTGGTGTGCTAGGTTGTGTGTCCCATCCTCTCATCTACCACAAGAAAATGGGACCTCTGGTCCACAGACAGCCGGTCACTCTTCCCACAAAACTACCATCAGCGCTCATGTATGAAGCTGTGAGGAAGATTCTTTGCCTCATGTCAGATACAGAGGAATAACAGTCATTTCTGCTACCACCTGCACCACATTTTACTCAATATTTTACATCAAAATGAGTAATATTTTTCTATAAGTATTTTCATGAAAAGCCAATTCTATGTCATCATCAACAATGAAAAGCATCCTTATTCCATCCTTAGAAGATAGCCAGAAAATTATATGTGTGTGTGTGTGTGTGTGTGTGTGTGTGTGTGTGTGTGTGTGTTACACTCATGGATTGCTTTTGTCACTGGCCATGGCAGAGCTGGTGACTGGCTGTTTAAAAAGACGTCCAGCAATAGGGAGTTGTTGAAGACAATACTTGGGCCCCGGGAAGGCTTTATCATGGGTGCTTCTTTCCCTTGAGAAGCTAACTAAATTCACATTAGTGACAACTTTTTTTTTTTTTTTGAGTTGGAGTCTCACTCTGTCGCCCAGACTGGACTGCTCCCGGCCACTGCAGCCTCGACCTGCTGGGCTCCGGCGATCCTTCCGCCTCAGCCTTCCAAGTAGCCAGAATAACAGGCGCGCACTACCACGCCTGGCTAATTTTTTGTTTTTATTGTAGAGATGAGGTCTTGCCTGCCCAGGCGGGTCTCGAACGCGCGGGCTCGGGCAGTCCACTCACCTCAGCCTCCCAAAGGCGTGGGATTACAGGCTGAGCCACCGACCCCAGCAGTGACAACTTTTTAACCCTGTGATGAGGAGCACGGTACTTGAACTCTCTGTTGTTGTCCTTCCATGAGCAAAACGGATTCATAAATAATATTTCCCTCTAGGATTGTTGGGATGTTCACAGAACAAATGAGATTAAAACGGGACTGGCACAGACTGAATGTTATGCGGTAGTCAGACTTGCTTTTCAATTTTATTTTTATTTCCAGACATTCTTTTAGTCTATTACTCATGCTGGACCTCAACTTCAGGGGCTCAAGTGATCCTCCTGCCTCCGCTTCCAGAGTAACTGTGACTACAGATTTTGGCTACTGCAGCCAGCTTGCTCTCTTATTTGAAGCAGGGTCTGCATGTCACCTAAAAACTCCTCTTCTGAGACACCCCACATGGCAGCACTACTGTCTGGAAGTGGCTGGACCGCCTCTGCTGGAGAAGTTCTCAGAGGTTTAGGAAAGTACAACCCGGACAGATATGCCCACACATCCACCCAGGAATGAGAGTGGAAGGGAGCAAGGCAGAGCCCTGTGTCTGGCACGTTGTTCTGTCAAAAGAAAATGTGTGCGATGGACTGCAGTGGGGACAGAGATAGACAATGTGGGACTCCGAAGGTCACATCCCGCCCCCCCCAAAAGAAATCGCGCCCGCAGATTTCTTTGCACACACCTCCATCCTCTGCTCCGCAGCTCCTTCAGACCAGGACGCTGAACACGAGTTGGGGTTGCACAAATCACCCGAGAAAGGCAAAGTTGGGGGTGGGGGGCGAGACAGGAACGCCCAGGGTGTGGGTGGCAGCAATCTCGGGGAATTGGGAAGGGCCAGCAGGACTCCGCGTCGCCAGGCCCCGCGGACACACGGCCCCGCCCTCCCCAGCGCGCCAAAGGTCGCCCCAGCGGTGGGCACCAGCGGTGACAGAGACCCTGCGCCTGGCCCGCCGGCTGCGCCCAGCCTAGCCAGAGACCTTGGCGTCACCTTCTCCGCGATGCGGGTGCGAAGGCCAGAGCGGGTCCTCGGCGCCCGGCTCCCTCCCCAGACTGTAAAGGAAATGGCCGCCTCCTGGGGTCCGCCAACCCCCTACCTTCCTTCTGCCTCTTCCTCCCTCTCGCCTGGAACTTCAGCCTCGCCTGGGCTCGACATGGACCCCAACTGCTGCTGCGCCGCTGGTAAAGGACGCCCGATTTCTGGGATCTTCATCTGGGATCTTCATCTTCCGGCCACTGGACAGATGTTCTGAGGAGTGGAGGTGTCGTTTGGCGTTCTGGCGGAAGTGAAGCCTTTAGTGCATGGTTCCCGTGCTTTCCCTTTGCCAAGCGCTTCCATCCCCCTAGAACTTTTGCATTCTCCCCTCGTCTACCAAATCATAGACGAGAGCCCTCAGGCATATGACTCACCTGCTCCAAGTCACCTAGGTAGTCCAGGGCTGCTAGGTGCAGTACCAATGTTCTGTCCAGCATTTGAGTTGCCTGGGCTGCATGGGAGACAAGGGACATGGTCTTTCCAGGATTCAGGACGAGAAATCATCCTAGCCTGAAGCGGGAGATGGGGGTAGACCTCACTGTGCCCCAATGCGAACAGAGCTACCAGGTCTGTCCTGGCACTCAGGTGGGAGCATTTGTTGACTGACTCTTGCCCTGGCTGCATCTCCCTGAGTGCTCACCTCTGACATTCTCTTCCTTACAGATGGCTCCTGTGCCTGCGCTGGTTCCTGCAAGTTCAAAGAGTGCAGATGCACGTCCTCCAAGAAGAGTGAGTGGGGGACTTCCCTGGGATCCTGGGGCTGAGGAAGCAGGAGCACAGAGCTCAGCAGGCAGGAACAGGCCAGTGACCAGCTTCCCACATCCTCTTCCCTCGGCATCTGGTAGAATCAGAGCCTGAAGAAATTTAGAGATTGCTGATTCTAAAGTTCACTTTTAAATTGGGAAAACTGGTAGAGAAAGACCATTGACATGCCACAGGCCAGACACATGAGGACATTCATCACTCAGTGTATGGTTCTGGGAGATGGCCTTCTTTTGTACCAGAGGCTCTGTCTTCCACTCCAGCAGAAACCAGACTTTCTTGTAGTCTTCTCCTCTTTTCTGAACCCCCAAAGAGCTAGACAGCTTTTTTTCCAGGAAGATCCTCACTCCCAAAACCCCCCAGTTGTTCCCTGACAGAGCTGTGCCCTCCTGAACTCAGGATCCTCTGGGTCTTGTTCCAGGCCTCTGTGGGGCAGGGAGGTGCCAGTTCAAGTCTGCTCTGAGCTCCTGCTCTCATTTCTCCACAGGCTGCTACTCCTGCTGCCCTGTGGGCTGTGCCAAGTGTGCCCAGGACTGTATCTGCAAAGGGGCATCAGACAAGTGCAGCTGCTGTGCCTGATGCTGAGACATCCTGGTCCCAGATGGAGATAGAAGGACATATATAATCCTGGTTATTGATTTATATACTACTCTAACACATTTGCTACACTTTTTTAAGTGAAATATATGATTGATAATAAAAGTTGGTGATTTTATTTGGCTCTGATTTCTTTTTTGTTCTCTGGAAATAAGGGACCATATACCCAACAGACCTGGGCTGGGGGATGACATCCAAAGCCTGTGTGCTGGGACCATGTCCAATCAACTCATACACTGAGTGGCTTAAGGCAAGCGAGGCTCCCCATTTCAGCATCAGTTCCTCAGCTAGAAACACAAGAGCATTTGCCAGATGATGTAGTAGCATGTGTTTCTGCCACAGACCTGAGCTTTGGTAAGAGAAAATAAAATGCATTCATATGACAAAATAATAACACAAAATAGAAAAACCATTCTTATAGTAAACAAGCATATTTCAATAAATATAAAAAATGAGATAGCTAGCAAAGCAAAATAATTATAAACATTAACAACTTTTAGGCCTGACTCAATAACTCAGTCTGTAATCCCAGTACTTTGGGAGGCCAAGGCGAGTGGATTGCCTGAGCCCGTGGGTAGACCCATCCAGGCAACTTGGAGAGACCTCGTCTCTACAATAAATCAAAAAATTAGCCGGGCATGGTAGCACACGCCTGTAGTTCAGGCTACTTGGAAGGCTGAGGCGGAAGGATCGCTGGAGCCCAGCAGGTCGAGGCTGCAGTGGCTGGGAGTGGCCACTGCACTCCAGTCTGGGCAACAGAGTGAAACTCCAATTAAAAAAAAACAACAACAAAACAACAACAACAAAAAACAATTTTCTAGGGTGTACATTTCAGACAGGAAACAGTTTCCAGACTGGCACCAGTATGGGCCTCACACAGCTTCAGCAGGGCTGGTCTGGCCATCCCAAGGAAACCCTCAGTCTGGGTCTGCCCAGTGTCACTAATGAGACTCTTCTACCCCTGAGAGCTCCATGTTATCACTGTACACTAAATCTATGGAAGTTTCTCCCCAGGCCCAGTCAAAATGAGTTCCTCCTTCAAATTCCAGCTTCAGAGCCTTCAAGCAGCTGAGTGACTCGGATGTGGATGGAAGTGCCCAGCAGGAACAGGACAAGATGGAAGATAAGAACCGAGGTTTCCAGATGAAGTATTTGTGTCTCTGTGGAGAAATGAACACAATCTTTAAATCTAAGGTGTGGTTGTTTGCTAGAAGGAGTAAGGCCCTGGGTGACTTGCAATGTATGGCAAAGTTCAGTCTCTCTGGCTACTTGTTGAAGGAATTTGATTTCATCTTCAAAGAGAAAGAGGGGTAGGCACCCAAGAGTCTGGACCATCCTAGCCTAGGGGTGGACTGTGTGAAGAGAGGGTTTTGGAAGGCAGCCTGTGCCGAGGGCATGGGTTTTGGTGTCAGGCGGTCCCGGAGCACTCTGAGTGCCCTCAGAGAGGCCAGGCTGCCTCCCTGAGTTTCATTTCAAGCAAAATGGAACAACAATGTGCCAGAGCCTTTGGGGAAGAAGGGGACATCAAGGACCACCTCTGTCTCTTGGCAAATGTGGTATGGATATTCACCCATCCCTCCTTTTTATTATCTGATTTTCCTGCCCAGTTTCAGTTCCTCATCAGGTCTTAGGTTTCAAAGTGATGACAGGAGGTGAAATCAAACTTCTCAGTTGCTTGAATCTTACAAGGGGCTTCTCACACTCCAAAGTGAAGTAATACTTCTATTTCCTATATATTCCAAATCTAAATTTTGGTAAATAAAATGATACTAATTATATTAAGCAAGAAATAATAAGCCATTTGTTACATTTAACTAGAAAATTTCTATAAATATATGACAAGTACCTGGAAATGTAAGTTTTGCAATCTGTGCACATATGTTCATCAATGATGAGGATTGCAGAGTGGAAACAACAGACTAGCCCCAGTGTGCAGACACACACCTTGAATAGCTCAGGCCAGGACACCCACAAGGAACCCTCAGGCTTGGCCTGCCAGTGCCACTAAAAGGACACTTGCTGACCAGTGGGAGGTTCCTGTTGTGACTAGGCTTTACATTTTTGGAAGTTCCTCTAGGGTCAGGCTAAATTTTCTCCTCCTTCAAATTACAGCCTTGATCAATTCAAATCAGGAAAGTGGCATTTTCCAGGTGAGAAGAAGTGTGTTTTAGGATTGATCCATGAAGTATTTCATGACTGCCCATGCCATCCTCCAGGGCATGGCAGATTCTGCAGTTTGTAGAGTGTGGAAGTATAATGGTCTGGATGACTTGTGATTAATGGCAGTGGGTTGTACCTCTCACTATATGTTGAAGGAATTTCTGTTTGATGTTCAAAGAAAAAGAGGAGTCAGGTGGCCCAACAATCTGGACCAATGTGAAGTGGCCAATGTGAAGAGAAGATTTTGGAAGGCATCCTATGCCAAAAGCATGGGTTTTGATGTCAGGCAGTCCTGTATCACAGCACACAACACCACTTAATGGCTGTGTGGCCTGGGCAAGTGACTGGACCACTTTGAGCATCCATTTTCTCCTTTGCAGAAAGGGGCTTACATCTCTATGTATGTATTACATGTGATAGTAGCCCGGCAATTGGATAGAGGGTATTAAACAGTAGTATTATGCTTATTTGGTCCACATAAACTTTCTGGAGAGGGAATCCTTTTAGGTCCCATTAATCTCCTTTGGAAAAGCCCATCTGCACAGAGACATCACAGAGATTTCAGTCTGGACTCTTACGGTTCTGATCTCAAGGGCATGTGAATGACTTCTTGCACAAAACCCTACAGGATAAGACACGAGCCAGTATTTGCACAGAGAAAAGGTTTTCTTCCTCTACAAGTCATTTGATCTTCACACAAAGCAGAGAAATAGTGAATTGCAAAACCTGTGAGTTTGTTCTGCTTGCAGAGATGCTAATAACCTGCCCAAGGTCGCACGCTCAGAATTCAAGATCTGAATGAACATATGCTAGAGCTTCCTCATGAGCTGGCCACAGCAGACAGGTCATAATGTCACTGGATTCTAAGTCTTGTACCTCCCAGTTCAGCATGGGAGGGCCATTGGTTAGTTAGCCCAACTGAGTTCCTGACCTGAGAGCTGGAATCCAGAGAGGTCACAAAGCTGTGCACAGGGATATGATGACCAGCACACTGGTCTTCCAAATTCTGCTTCTGTGCCAGATTCCAGTGTCTTCATCTTTCACATGAAATAAAGTGGGGTTGAAGGCATGGTGATCCAGACAGCATTCACGTGTGCAAATCTCAGCTTTGTCACTTATACCTGGGATAACACAACCTCTCTGTGGCTCAGGCTCCTCCACTGTGAGCCTGAGGGGCAGGAAAAAATGAGTTAACCCATGCAAAGAACTTAAAATAGTCCTGCAATCGACAAGTTGTGTCTCATATTACCTGTGATTTTGTTGTCTTTATTCATAGCACAGGAAATTTTTCTACCTCCATGCAAATAAGACAGTCCTCGTGTGCTCACCTGTGTGTCCTGTGTTATTCTCATCAATGATGCAATCACATGACTGGTGGCCCAGAGAGTGTCCTCTGCCCATTCACGGATCCACACTGGATATGCAGAGCCCCAAGAAACCCAGTCCCTGTCCTCATAACAGATACTAAAGGATTCCTGGCATTTCTGTTCCCACTTCCACTATTTCCCTTAACATGTTCATACTTTAAATATGTTTGTAGAAAAAGAAAACTGTTTGTCATCACTGAAAATCAGAAGCATTTCACTTCCAGACATACAAGGTGGCCATAGAATTACACCTTCCCTTCAGTATCATTTTTTGTTGTTCCCAGGATTGACCTTCATGTTTGTTTTTGTGTAAAGATTGTAAGCAGCAAAGAGTTGTTGAAGGCTAATGTTAGGCCCAAGGGAAGCATCTTTGTTGACCTCTTTCTTTTAAAAGTTGGACTGGATTCAGATCCAGCAGGACCCCTTCAAGCCTTCTGACCATGGACTAGTCACACGCTCCTTGTGTTGTGGTTGTCTGATTAGTAACTTGGATTTATATACAAAGCCTTCCCCTTGGGGATTGTTGTGAGGGCCAAATAGCCAAAGAGATTAAACAAGGTCTGGCAGGGACTGTGTGCTGTGTGATAGTCAGGAAAATCAGGGAAAATGATCCCTCCTTTGGGGACATCCCAAGCTTTGGAAATTTCAACCTTATGCCTGGTAGAGCAGCGAGGTTGTGGGAAACCCCAAAGGAAGTTAAAGCAAAGATGACCCAGCAAATGTGGCTGGCATTCCTTCAGAAGTAGAGACTGGAAGGGAGAGAGGCAGAGCCCTAGCCTGCCTTGTTGCTGGGCAGGAGAAACGTCATCAAAGACCCAAGGTGGGAAAAGGGACAGGTCAGCAGATGAGACATAGGTCACGTCAGTGGCCTGTCCTCTGCACACAGCTCCCTGGCTGTGCTCCATACCTTGGGTCTATCTAGGGACGTGAGCATGAAGCTGGGGTTGTACATGGACCATGAGAAGCCTGAAGCTAAGGACAAAAGTGCAGGGCTGGGGAAGAGAATTCTGATCACTCTGCGTTCTCTGAACCTCCATGGGCCAGGAGCAAGGGTGGATCACAATCTGCAGGAAATTGGGAATGGACCGCAGGGAAGCAAGGAGGCTGTGAGCCGCCTAGCGTGCAGATCCTCCCTTGGGACAGCAGCAAAAAGGTAGGCCCCAGTGCAGCACACTGAGATGCAGGCAGTAAATGGGTAAGGGGTATCCATCACCTGGCCTGCCCTCTGTTCAAGGTTCAGTCCATGACGGTGAGATCTAGGACTTGGTGGGGCAGTGCAATGTCTGGAGTAGAGCCTCTGTGCTCAGTCCCCTGTTCTGACTATAAAGGGAGGAGTGGCCTCCTGGGCTCTACCAGCTTCACACCTGCCCCACTGCCTATTCCCTCTCCCACCAGGAATTCCAGCCTCACCTGGGCTCAGCATGGACCCCAACTGTTCCTGCACCGCTGGTAAGGGATGACATATTTCTGGCCTAGGGGTCTCCTATGTTTTCGTAGAGGATAGAATGTCCCTGCTGCTAGAAGAGGGTTCATTTGGAGTTTGGCCTCAAGTGGCCTCTTCTCATTCGATTTCTGGTGTTTTTTTCCCGGCCAAGCACTTACATCACCACTTGGAACATTCTCATCTTCCCAGCCCCTGCCATCTCTGAGGCTACTGGATTGAGGTCAAAATAGCCCTGCTCCATGTCTCCTAGATAGGAAAAGGCTCAGTGCTCTGTCCACCATTTCAGCTGTCTGGTGTGGTTGAGAGGCAGGGACATTGACTCTTCCAAATTTCCGAAGCCCTGTGGGTATGATTAAAATGACACCTGCCCTTCTTAGCCAGAAAAGGTGGGTTAGACTTCCTCTTCCCTGGGTGGAACAAAAGTCACCAGGTTTCCTCAGTGCACGGAGCAGGGAGCATGCACAGGACTGAGTCTGATTCCTCATGACCCTCGGTGCTCACTGTCCTTCTCTTCCTTGTAGGTGGTTCTTGTGCCTGCTCTGGCTCCTGCACGTTCAAAATGTACAGATGCACGTCTTACAAGAAGAGGGAGTGGAGTGCTTCCCTGGGAGTCTGGGACTGGGCTGAAGTCAGGAGCAACCCGAGTTGGTCTATGCTTCTGGGAAACAGATAGAGAACAGTTCTAGAACACTATGTTTCTGTGGGTCTTTCTCTGCCTCCCAGTCTTCTGCCCTGTCCTGGGCTCAAAGGAGCCTAGGCAACTTTTTCACAGAATGACTCTCACCCTAAATTCCACCAGTAATCTCCTACAGAGCTGTGCCATCCTGAAATCACAGTCCTCTGGGGCTAGGAGCAGGGTTGTGCCAGGGCTATGCTGAGCAGGGAGGTGCCTGGTCAAGTCTGCTTTGACGTCTTGCTTACCCCCTTCTTCCTAAGCTCCAGCTCTTGCTGCCCCATGGGCTGTGCCAAATGTGCCCAGGGCCGTGTCTGCAAAGAGGCATTGGACAAGTACAGCTGCTGCACCTGATGTTGGAGGAGTCCTGATCCCAGATGGAAATGGAGCTACTTGTACAAAACGGGATTTTTTTTAAAACCTGCAACCCAGTGCCATTTACTGCTTACCCTTTATTTGAAACATGTGAATTATAATAAACGTAGACTTGATTCTGACTCTAGTTTCCTTTGTGCATCTTGAAAATGATGGACTGAGGTGGGGGATTGAACTGGGAGTGCGGAGACCAGGGCTCTTATGGAAATGTTTGCCCTGACAATCTGAATGCCCTTAATGATGCCAGGCTGCTTCACTGAGCTTCCTCTTCTGCAAATTGGAACAACTGTGTTCCAGAACACTGGGGTAAGGGGTTGACATGGAGGACCACCTCTGTCTCCTGGCAAATGTGACACAGATACTCATCCATCCCTCATTTTTATTATCTGATTACCCACCCAGGTTCACCTCTCCATCTTATTTTAGGCTTCAAAGCAATGACAGAAGGTGAAATCAAACTCCTCAGTTGCTTGAATCCTACAAAGGGCTTCTCAAACTCCAAGGTGAAGTAGTTCTATTTCCTATTTATCCTGGATCTAAACTTTGGTAAATAAAATAACATTAGTAATGGAGACCATGATATCAAACAACAAATGATAAGCCATTTGTTACATTCAACTGAAAATTTCTAGAAATATATGACAATTACTTGGATATCGAAGTTTTGCAATCTCTGAACATATGTTCATCAATGCTATGGAAGGCAGACTAGCCCCAGTGGTTGGACACACATCTTGAGCAGCACAGTCAGGAATCCCTCTGGTTTGGCCTGCCCAGTGCCACTGAGAAGACACTCCCTGACCCCTGGTAGCTCCCTGTTGTGAGTTGGCTTTGAATTTTTGGAAGTTGCTCCCAAGGTCAGGCCAAATTTCCTCCTCCTTCAAATTCCTGCCTTGCCCAATTCAAATCATCAAAGTGACTAGGATATTTAAGGAAATTGCCCAGCACTTTTACAGCAAGACAAAGCGGGTGTGTATTAGAACTGGATCCATGAAGTGCTTCATTTCTGCCTATACAGGGGCATGGCATATTCTGCAGTTTCAAGGATGTAGAGATATTCACTTGGAAGGAGGGAGGCCTGGGTGACTTGACAGTGGTAAGTCCCTCTGCTATATGTTGGAGGCATTTCTTTGACATTCAAAGAGAAATAAACAAGCTGGACTACCTGGCCTGCAGAAGGGCTGTGGAAAGAGAGAGTTTTGGAAGGCAGCCTGTGCCAAGGGCATGGGTTTTGGTACAGGCAGTCCTGGAGCACAGCCCACTTCACCTCTTAATGGCTATGTGGCCTGGGCAAGGGGCTGAACCAACTAAGCCTCCATCTCCTCCTTTGTAGAAAGGAGCTTATGTCTCCATGTAGGAGTTACATGTCATAGTGACCTGGCAATTTGATAAGACTTAATAAACGTTAGCATTATGCTTTTTTGGTCCACATGATCTTTCTGGAGGGAAAATTCTGTTAGTTCCCATCAACCTCCTTGGGAAAGGCTCATATGTAAGGAGGCATTATTGTGGATTTGAAGTCTGGACTCTTACAGATCTGTTCTCAAGGGCATGTGAACGACCTCTTGCACAAAACCCTACAGGATAAGACACTGAGCCAGCATTTGCACAGAGAAAAAGCTTTCTTCCTCTGCAAGTCCTTTGATCTTCACACAAAGCAGAGAGACAGTGAGATGAGGTTGTCCTGCTTGCAGAGAAGTTAATAACCTGCCCAAGGTCACACACTCAAAAGTCAAGGTCTGAATGAATGTATGCTAAAGCTTCCTCATGAGCTGGCCACAGCCGCCAGGTCATGATGTCACTGGATGCTCAGTCCTGCCCCTGTAGTTCAGCAATGTGAGGGCCATTGGTTAATTAGCCCAATTCAGTCCCTGGTTGAGAGCTGGCATCCTGAAGCCCAGAGAGGCCATAGAGCTGTGCACAGGGATATGATGGCCAGCACACTGGTCTTCACAATTCTGCTTCTGTGCCAGAATTCAGTGTCCCCATCTTTCATGTGGCAAGGTGACAGAAGGCAGTGGTTGAAGGCATAAAAATGCAGTAGCACACGTGTGACCAAATCCCAGCTGTGTCACTGTTTTCTGAGTGACACCACCTCTCTGTGACTCAATTTGCACCAATGTAAAAGAGGAAGAAGAAACATCAATAAGGGTACCTCCTCTCAAACCAGGCGAAGTGGAGACCAAATGGAGGCCCAAACTTTACCTGCACAATGACCAATTGTATACCTAATCCTGAACTGAACCCCACATCTTTCAAGTAAATAATAATAATAATAAGAAGAAGAAGAAGAATAGGGTGTGGATGGTAAGTGAAAATGAATCAATACATGCAAAGAACTTAAATCGGTGCCTGCTACACATCTGTGATATTAGCTACGATTTTATTGTTTTTATTCATAGCACCGGAACATTTTTCTACCTTCGGACAAGTAGGCCAGTTCCAGTGTGCTCACCTGTGTTGTTCTCATCAACAAAGTAAACAGGAGGCTTGTGACCCAGAGAAGGTCCTCTACTCATCCAGAAACATGGATCCAATGGGATATGCAAAGCCATGAGACACTCAGTCCCTGAACTCATAATGGATACAAATGGATTCCTGCCATTTCTGTTCCCACTTCTACTATTTCTCATAACACATTCCTTTTAAATGATCATATTTATTTAAATGTATCTGTATGAAAGCAAACTCTTTGCCACCACTGAAAATAAGAAAGAGATGGTGGCCCTAAAATTAAACACTTCTCTTTTGCGTCACTTTTGTTGCTCTCAGGATCGACCCTGTTGTTTGTTTTTGTGTAAAGATTTCAGGTAACAAAGAGCTGTTGAAGGCTAATGTCAGGCCCAAGAGAGAAGGTTCTTCATTGACCTCTTTCCCTTCAAAGCTGACTGGGTTAAGATCCAGCAGGATCCCTTCCAAGCTCTCTGACCTTGGACTAGTTACACACACTCCTTGTGCTGGAGTCATCTGATCATTAAGATGGGTTCCTACAGAGCCCATGATTGAGGATGGATGTGAGGGTCGAATAGCCACACAGATTAAACAAGGTCTGGCAGGGACTGTGCACTGTGTGATAGTCAGGAACATCAGGGAAAAGGATCTCTCCTTTGGGGAATCCCAAACTTTGGAAGTTCAACCTTATGCCTGGTGAGGCAGCGAGGTGTGGGAAGTCACAAGAAAGTTAAAACCAAGAAAACCCAACAAATGTTCCAGACATTCCCTCGGGAGAGATGACTGGAAGGAAGGAAGGCAGAGCCCTATGTCTGCCTTGTTGCTGGGCAGGAGAAACGTGGCCAAAAACCCTAGGTGGGAACAGGGGCAAGCCATGCTGGTGAGGTAAAGTTTACATCAATGGCCTGTCCTCTGCACACAACTCTCTCACCTTGCTCCACGCCCTGGGTCTATCTAGGGACGTGAGCATGAGACTTAGGTTGCACATGTACCCTACGAAGCGGGAAGCTGAGTTCAAAGAGCTGGGAAAGGGACTACCCCTGACCACTTGGCTCTAGGTTCTCTGAACGCCCAGGGCCAAGGGTGGACCTCGGTGTGTCAGAAATTGGGAAGAGCCCTCAGGGCAGCATTTAGGCCATGAGCCAACTGGCGCACATGCCCTCCTTAGCGACAGCAGCCAAAAGATTGACACTAGGACAGCACATTGAGAAACACTCGGGGAATGGGTGAGGGAGATCCTCTGCCCAGCACAGCTGCTCACATCCTGGCCCGGACCTTGAGTGGCTGGGGCTCAGTGGGGACAGGTGCATAGAACAGGGAAGGGCCTCTGCCCCAGTTCCCTCCCCTGATTCTAAAGAGAGCGGCTGCTTCCTGGGCTCCACCAGCCTCCCACGTGCCCTACTGACTTCTCCCTTGCCTTGGAGCCTCAGCCTCACCTAGGCGCGACATGGACCACAACAGCTCTTGTTCCACTGGTAAGGGACACTGGGTTTCTGGCCTCAGTGTCTCCAATTTCTTGGCAAAGGATAGAATGTCCCTGCTGCTGGAGGAGGGCTCATTTAGAGTTCAGCCTCAAATGGTCACTTCCCTGAACTTTTTGCGCTTTCTTCCTGACCAAGCACCTTTGTCACTACTTAGAACATTATCTTCCCAGCCCCTCCCACTATCTTTTTCTTTCTTTCTTTTTTTTTTTTTTTGAAAGCGGGATTTATTGAGAGGATAGAAAAGCTCCCACAGTGGGAGGGGACCCGAAGCGGTTGTTCCTCTCTCATGCTCAAGGCTACTGGATTGAGGCACAAAACGGCCCTGCTCTTTATCTCCTAGATGGGCCAGGACCCAGTGTTCTGTCCAGCATTAGAGCTGTCAGAGAGAGTTGTGAATCAGGGACATCAAATCTTCCAAATTCCTGACATAAAGTCCTGTGGGGTATGATCAGGATGGCACCTGCCCATCCTAGCCAGAAGAGGTGGGTTAGACTTCCTTCTGCCTGAGTGGAATAAGAATCACCAGGTTTTTTTCAGTGCACAGAGCAGGGAGCATTTTGGAGGACCGCGTCTGACTCCTGCATGACCCTTGGTGCTCACTGTCCTTCTCTTCCTTGCAGGTGGCTCCTGTGCCTGTGCTGGCTCCTGCAAGTGCAAAGTGTGCAGATACATGTCCTGCAAGAAGAGTGAGTTGAGGGCTTCCCTGGAAAGCTGGGGCTGAGTCAGAGGAGGGAGGCTGGAGCTCGGCAAGAAGGAGAAAGCCAGTGATCAGCCTCCCCACTCCCCTTTCCCTAGACACTGATCAGGATCAGAGTTTGTGGAGCTTTATTGATGGTTGATATGCAACATTCATTCTTAGAATAGGGAAACTGGGGCCATGACAGTACACTAGCCTACCAAGCACAGATCTGATACTTGAGGACTTCCTCGCTTGGGTTTATGGTTCTGAGCAACTGGCCTTCCTTTGTCCCCAGAGGCCCTACCACTGCCTCTAGTCCTCTGCCCCTTCATGGGCTCAGATTGTGCCAGTCAGCTCTTTCCTAGGAAGACCCTCACTCAAAAGATCCCTCCAGTTGTCTCCTGGCAGAGTTGTGCCCTCCTGAACTTAGGATCCTCTGGGGCTAAGGGCAGGACTTGTGCCAGGCCTCTGTAGGGCAAGGAGATGCCTGGTCAAGTCTGCTTTGCCCTCCCACTCTCCCTTTTCTTCCCAGGCTGCTGCTCCTGCTGCCCCGTGGGCTGTACTAAGTGTGTCCAGGGCTGCGTCTGCAAAGGGGCATTGGACAAATGCAGCTGCTGCACCTGATGCCAGGAGACCTGATCCGAGACAGAGATAGAATGACCTGTCCCATCTGAGTTTTTTTTCTTACAACCCTGACCCATTTGCTGTATTTTAAAAATTGAAGCATCTGAATGATCATAAAAGTTGTTGACTTTATTCTGACTCTGTTTTTTGGAAGTGCCCTGGAAATAAGGGACCCAAATCCAGTAGAGTTATGATGGAGGATACAGTGGGAGTCCAGAGCCCTGGGTGCTGGGACTATGTCCTGTCATCTCCCAATGTGTGACTTCCAGTAAACCAGCTTACCCGTCTCAAGTTGGTTTCTCAATTTAATGTTAGAGCATTCTGGCAGATGATACAATGGCACGGGAATCTGTCACAGACCTAGCTTTGGTAAAGTAAAACATAGGAGTATGACAAAATAAATAACACAAACCCATTTTTTGTATTGGACAGGTAAATTTCACTAAGTATATGAAAAACAAAATAACTTGGAAATTAAAAGAACTCAAATACTACACTTTTTTTCCAGGGGCATATTTCAGACTGGAAACAGTTCCTAGACCTGTACCAGTGTGGGGGTCACACCCCTTCGGCAGCATTGACCTGGACATCCCCACAGGCACCCTCAGTCTTGGCCTGCCCTATGTCACGGGTGGGACTTCGCTGCCCCTGCAAACTCCTTGTTGTGACCTTACTCTGACTATTTGGAAGTTTCTTTTAAGGTCAGGCTGAATTCTGCTCCTCATTCACATTTCAGTCACAGGAGCAGGTCGCAATGTCACTGGATGCTAATTAATCACTGCTTATGACAGTTCAGAGCTGGAAAAGCCCTTGATTAGTTCACTCACTGGCACCCCTGACTTGACAGCAGGGAAACTGAAACCCAAGGGAGTCACTGAGCTACACAGAGGATGTGATTGCCAGGTCATTGGCCTTCCCACTCTGCTCTGTGCCAGATTTTAGTGTTCTTGTGTTTCAAGTGACAGGGTGACACAGGGTTGTGGTTGAGGGCACTATGCTGCAGTCAGCCTGAATAAATGCAAATCCCAGCTGGGTCACTTATACCTGTGTACACAATCTCTGTGGTTCAGTCCCCTGCACTGCGTAAGGGGTGGAATACAGTCACATGTCACCCGACAGCATTTTGGTCCAAGATCAACTGTATAAAGGATGGTGGTAATATAAGGTTACAATAACATCATTTTACTGGACATTTTCTTGTTTAGTCAAGTTTAGATATACATATACTTCCCTTGGGGTTTCCATGACCTCTCCAGTACAGTGAAATGTTGCACAGGTTTGTAGCCTTGGAACCATCGGCCATAGCATATGACCTAGGTGTTTAGTAAGCAAACTCTAAGTGTGTTGAGTCCCCTCTACGATGTTGGCACAGTGATGAAATCACCTACACATGCATTTCTTAGAGTGTTCCCTATAATTAAGTGAGACAGGACTGTAGTAGGGTCTTCCTTTTAGAAGTAAATGATTTAATGTATGAAAGCACTTAGAGTGGTGCCTTGCATGTGGCAAGTGGTCTAGAATATTCACTATGATTTTCTTATTATTTCAAGCTAGTATGACCTGGATGTTTGTCACTCCAAATTCATATGCTAATATCTAGTTCTCAGTGTGTTGCTATTATGAAGTGGTATATAAGGGACATGACTAGATTATGAGGGCAAAGTGCTAATAGATGGAAGTAAGAGCCTTTATAAAAAAGGCCTGTGGCCTCTTGTTCACCCTTTCTACCATGTGAGACCCCAATTAGAAGGGAGTGTTGATAAGGATCAGGGTACAGACAAGACACCAGGTATGCTGATGCCTTGCCCATGGATTTCAGTGCCTCCAGTCCTGGGAGAAACCAGCTTCTTTTCTTATGTTACCCAGCGCAATGTATTTTATAACATAGCAGCTCAAACAGACACAGACAACTGCACAGTTGACATTTTTACTCTAGTCAGATAAGCCAGGTGCTGGGCCTGGTGTGTGTCCTATGTCTATCCCATCAGTCACATGAGCAAAGAACCTGTAATCTAGGGACAATCTGCCTTCTTCCCATAATATAGGCATCCACAACTAAATATAAACCATGAGCAAGACAGTCCCTGTCCTCATAACAGATACGAGAGATGCCTACCATTTCTACTATCAGCTACATTCGTGTATTACTTCACATTTTTAAATGACTCCTATTTCCTTAGATACGTTTATATAAAAAGCAAACTCATTATCACTAATGAAGAGTCAGTTTTACATGCAGACATAGAAGGTGGCCATAAAATGACATACATTTTTATCTCCTCTGCATTTCTTTTTGCTGCCAGGATTGACCTTGCTCTTGGCTCTGTTTCAAATATTTCTAGCAGCAAAGAGGTGTTGAAGACATTCCTAGGCCCAAGGAAGGATTTTCCATTAACTCTTTCCTTCGGAAGCTGACAGAATTCAGATTCCACGTCCTAGCCCCAAACTTGGGCTGGTTTTCTAAACACCTTGTTTTGTATTGTCTGATGAGGAGAACAGGTTCCTAAACAGTATAGTATCCTCTTTAGGACGTTGTGAGGGTTCAAAGACGGAAAGTGACTCAACAGGGCCTCACAGACTAAAGATTATGCTCAGTAACAGGAATATTCAAGGGAAAATTTCTTTCTTACTTTCTTATTTAATGCAGCATCTGAGTGTCACCTAAGCGACCCTTCTACTGGGGCATCCCACATTTTCAAAACTGCCATCTTGAAGTGGGTGGGCCAGTTGGCTATAGGCAAACTCTGTGGAATTTTATGCAAAGAAGGACCCACAAATGTGCCCACATAACCTCTCAGGAAGTGAGAGTAGAAAGGTGTGAAGCAGAACCCTGTGTCTTCCCTGGTGCTGTGTTCAGGGGTAACCTGGCCAAAGGACCAGGGAGATGGCATGGACAGGCAGAAGGCTGAGGAGGGGAGGTCACACCCGAGATCCCACCACTGCACACAACTCCTTGTGTCCCTGTCTCTGGCCAATCTAGGGATGTGAGCACCTGGCAGGGGTTACACACAGATCCGGGAAAGTTGGACAACTGAACAGGGTTAGTGTGGGCATTTCAAGACCACAGGGAACTGCATTCCCGGAATGCTTGGGGATGCCCCGCGCATCGCCGGGCACACAGCTTGCCCTTCCCAGCACAGCCAATGGGGCAGCCACAGCAGTGCGCACCTAGCGGCGCTCAGAGATCCCGTGCCAAGCCCACCAGCTATCCACAGCCTGGCCCAGGACAACGGGTGGTTCGCACTGTGGAGGAGGATGCAAATGCCAGGGTGGGGCATCTGCGTCTGGCCCCCTGACTATAAAGGGAGCAGCCGCCCCGAGGGCTCCAGCAGCCTCCCACCTGTCCCCCTGCCTCTCCCTCTCACCTGGAACTCCAGCCTCATCTGGGCTCAATATGGACCCCAACTACCTCTGCAGTATTGGTAAAGGATGCCCAGCTCTGCATCTTGGGATGCCTCTTACCCAGTCACAAAAGACAGCGTCCCTAGGTGTGAGAAGGCGCATTTTGAGATCTGAGCTTGAGGGGGCTTCTTTATTTCATCCAGGGCTTTATTTCTGGGCAAGCCTAGGGAGCACTTCCCTTGTCCCTACACCTCTGTGACAGAGTTGAGGTCTCTGAGCCTCAAGGCTGTCAAGCTCAATGTCAACTCCCCAGGACCCTGTCTGGCCCCAGTACACTTTCCAGGCTCTGAGCAGGCATGAACCCTGGGAAGTAGAGGACATTGCCTCTTCTGGTTGAGGACAGAAGGTCCTGGTCCCAGTCCTCATCTTACTGGACATTGTGTACAGCCTGGGGCCCTCCTGGTGGGGTAAAGCAGGAGGGTCCTTGCCCTTCCCAGCAGGAGGGGAGAGGGGATAGGGCTTCTTCTGCCCTAAGCGAGAAAGGAGCTCTGGCCATTACAGAGGAGGGGGCACTGGAGACTCACTCACCAGATGCTGCCCTATCTGCGTCTTACTCAGTGCTCACCTCTGGCCTTCTCTTCTTTGCAGGTAGCTCCTGTACCTGCAGTGACTCCTACAAGTGCAAAGTATACAGATGCATGTCCTGCAAGAAGAATGAGTGGGCACCTTCCCTGGTACTCTGAGACTGGTCTGAGGTCAGGAGAGATCCCGAGCTGGTCTGTGCTTCTGGGAAACAGATAAGGAACAGTTCCAGGACACTATGTTTCTGTAGGTCCTTCGTGGCCGCCCAGTCTTCTGCCTTGTCCTGGGCTCAGGTGGGCCTCAACAGCTTTTTAGCAGGAAGATGCTTACCCTGAAATCCACCAGCTGTCTTCTGAAGAGCTGTACTATCCTGAATTCAGGGTCCTCGGGGACTGGGGGCAGAGCTTGTGCCAGGTCTCTGCTGGGCAAGGAGGTGCCTGGTCAAGTCTGCTCTGATGTTTCCTTCTCCCCTTTCTTCCCAGGTTGCCACTCTTGCCACCCCGTGTGTTGTGGCAAGTGTGGCTGCCCCTACAATACTTGTAATTGATGCCAGGTGTCTGGGCCATGGTGTCTTCGATTTTTTTTTTTTTGCCAGAGTATAGAATGTCCCTGCTGCTCAAGGAGGGCACATTTAGAGTTCGGCCTAAAGTGGCCTCTTTTCTTTTGACTTCTTGTACTTTCTTCCTAGTCAAGTGCCTCTATTACCACTTAGAACATTCCCATCCTCCTAGTGACTCCCATTTCTGAGACAACAGGATTAAGGCTCAAAGTAGCCCAGCTCCATGTCTCCTAAATGAGCAGGGACCCAGTGCTCTGTCCAGCATTCGAACTGTCTAGGCTGTTTGGGAGGCAGGGATGTTGACTCTTGGGATTCCCAACGTAAAGCCCTGTGGTGTACTTCATGAGGGCACCTGTCCATCTGATCCTGAAGAGGTGGGTTAGACTTCCTTCGGCCTGAGTAGAACAAGAGTCACCAAGTTTCCTCCAAGCACGGAGACTGGAGCATGCTGAAGGACTGCGCCTAACTCCTGCATGATCTTCAGTGCTCACTGTCCTTTCCTTCCTTGCAGGCGGCT